TGAACAAAAACACGCTATGGTTTTCTAGAAAGTATCGCCTCCATTACTTAACAACATGGAATAATTACTCTCTTATGACACTGCAACAAGATAATACTTTAACTCACACAGTTTTCACGAATACTTAGGATAGCGTAGTATACTAGTGTCGGGTACAACTGTTCTCTATGTAACAAGAACAACAAAAAAGTTGGTGTTCCATAATGCATCACGTAAATAGCAAATATTTAATGGTGCATGGTCACTTCCTCGAAGTCTTCCTGTCGCATGACGTTAGCCGTGTCATGAGCAGTGACAATTTAGGTGTAACTATGCAACCCTATAGATTACTTTACATTCAGAATGCCTCAATCAGGGTGGTGTATATCAGAACGTTTATTGCTGTTCCCATCCGATTTTTCTTACCGCTTCTCCCTACCGGTCAATTAGAGACTGTGACTCATATCTTAGGATGCGGTGTTCATCGATCGCTATGTTGATGTTCAATAAACCGCGTATGTATTATAACATAACCTCTTTGATTTAACACAGCTGTCAGTTACTATTTTCAATATTTGGCGCATTTTGGAACTCTTTTGGCCATAATTTCATTCGAGGATTAGTCCTATTAAATTGCACCAGGGCTTTAGAAATTCTCACATAAATTGACAATTTCCAAAGTACTCGTAGTATTATCTATAATTATTGCCTGTATCCGTCCAGTGTGAATCCGCATAATGTAGATATTTTGTAAATAGTTTGCAATGTGTCTAATAACATTTTATAAACGTAGTGGTTACATATTTAGTTTAATTAGCCATTAGATTGATGTCTCGGGGAGTGTAAACTGTTAAAATTTGTCCCGTATGTCTAGTGCATGTTTATGGCGGTAATCATGCCCCGTTGTATGAAGAAATCTAGCGTCCACCTCCCTGTCAGCTAACGGGGGTTCCCCTAAACAGGCATCTCTCACCAGCGGGGCACCCCCCAGCCAGGACAAACTCCAAGCTCCGGACCGGACTCCCGGCAAGTGTAGTAGTGTGTGTATAAGCAAAGGGTGATGATGGAACAAGGAAGAGGAAGGAAAGATCTCGCGCGGTCCGTGGCCCGTTTGTTAGGGTACTGCTCCCGCATTCGCCTTGTGTTGATCGAAAAAAAAAACACAGAAAACTACCGATCAGAGCAGTCGGCCCAGGGTTCTCCTCCTGACAGGGACAGAACTCGACAAAGCTGTCTCGCTAGTGTTGAAAATCCTGGCACCGTCGGGGTTCGAACCTAGGACCTCTCGGTCAGAGGCACTGCGGAGACATCAGTTGATGCACTGGACCACCACTCCAGGTCCGCTTTCCTTGGAAACACACACACACACAATATGTGGGTCACTCACCCTTCCGACGAAGAATCGCCTGTAGCACTTGGCGGTGTCGTCCGTCTCGAACTTGGGCCGCCACGCGCCGCCCGCGCCGCCCGCGCCGCCCGCCCCGGGACCCTGCTGCGCGAGGCGGAGGAGGCGGGAGGCGGGCGGGGAGGCGGGGCGGGGGCGGCGAGTCGTCGCGTCGCGCCGTCCACCCAGTAGCCGCCGCCAGACGGCAGCACGATTCATGGGAAGGCGCCGCGCGCGCCAGCGCCTCCTCACAGCAGGCGGCGCGACGGCGGCGAGGGCCGGGGCGGGGGGGCGGCGGCGCGGCGGCGGCGGGGCGGGCGGCGGCGGGCTCGGCCGGCGCCGGCGCCCCCGCCGCCTGGCGACGCCCGGCTGTCCTCCCGGGACGCCTGCGGGCACAGGGCACGGGGTCAGGCACAAACAAAAGTACTACATATGTTCTATTAAATATATTAATATGTCTTATAATATGTCTGAATTTTCTCCGACGGTAGCGATATCGATGTCGATGTTTTAAACATCTTTAAACAACGATGTTTATGATCGATGTTTCTTTAACATCAATGCACTGTGATCGATGTTTAACATCAATGCACTGTGATCGATGTTTCTTTAACATCAAAGCATTGTGATCGAAGAAAGAAAAACAATAAGCGAGAAGAAAAGAGAAAGGAGACGGTAGAGAACAGAGCCACATTAAGAAAAATGGTTCCTAGCCACAACTGTTTTCGACAGTTTAAAATTTAAATAGTACAACTAGTTAATCGAGCTATACGCTTTACATGTACCAGCGTGCACACAAGACACCCCCCAAAAAGTCCCCATCGAATTGAGCAATTGCAACATGACTCGCGTCCGCTCTCCTTGCCTCGCTTCGCGACGAAGACAGGAGACAATTGTGGGGCGGCGACACGCTTCCGGCGCAAGTAGGCTGCGACTGTCGCATGCGCTGTTCCCTCGGCAAGTGCCCCACCCATCCTCCGCCCGCGTTTTCGCCGCTCGAGGATCTTCTCTGCGGAACAAAGCGGTCGTCCTCTCGTCTGCACCGAGAGGAAGGACTTCTCTCCCCTATGTCAGTGATGACAGTGTCCCCCTTCTACCAGCTCGAGACTGATGCGACACTACACTGCGATGTTGTCTAGGCTCTCCGGGACGAGCCACGTCACTGACATGGTGGCTAACGTTTCGGCCAGCGTATTGTTGCCTTCTTCAGAGCATACTGCTGACGTTAGCCACCATGTCCGTGACGCGGCTCGTCCCGGATAGTCTAGACAATATAAACTCCGGTCGCGGAAGCTTACGCAACCAACTATACTGCGATGTTTCCAACTCTGCCCCTGGCAGCTATCGGGTGTCGGCGGTTTCATCCAATCGTGAGCTTGAACGTCACCATAGTGTCGTCACTACGGTGACGTTTAAGCACCCGATTGGATGGAACTGTCAAGAGCTGATACCTGCTAGGGGCAGAGTAGGAAATATCGCAGTATACATATAAGTTAGTTCGTTAGAACGACCATGGTGAAGTACCCCCCCCCCCAAAAAAAATCACTTTAAAACAAAGCGCAGTCTGCGTTCCTCAAGACGATAAGAAAAAACATTGGCCTGAAATTGGAATAAAACAAGTTTAAATTAGTATATGCCCTTATGGAATTTTTTTCGCGAACATAGGTTTTTTTAAGTTATTGAAGAAGTTATACGGCGAGAGTATATTTTTAATTTCTATTCAATACGTTGAAATTTTTTTAGGAATCAAATGGAATCAGTGCAACATTTCTCACCGGTCATTCTGAGGAGTAATTATTAAAATCAATTCGGGAAATTCATATTTTCTGCAAGTACTGGATCTTGGCTTAGGACTTACGCTGTATAAATCATGCTCTTGTCACCACTGTTTCTCTTCGGGTACGACAAAAAACCACCTGACTATTTTTTTGTCACACACTATTTGAGGATAATTTACTTTCAATTTAAACAATGTCGACTACTATTTGACGCAGAGAGAAAGAAAAATACGGGTGCTGAAGTCAACTTACGAACTGCCAACCTATGCTACTCGTACCACCTTAAATCGGACTTAACTGGAAGGACATGGGGACACTGTCGTTCAATCGGTAGCTCCAAAACCAAAAATTTGAGTCACAACGAAGCTCCCGATTGGATGACAATGTCTCCCTCTCATGCCTCGAACGCTCATGACCTCGAAGGGACGCTACATTTCAATCTAACTTTACTGGAAGGAGGGGGAGACTGTCATGTCCTTCCAGCTGGTGACTTTGAATAAACACTGCAGTTAAATCGGGGTACGCTGGGGGTCTTCGCCCTGCAGTGGTCGCAGGCGTGGATCCCGGAAGCGGCGTCGCCTTGGGCCCTGAACGAGGGGGGCGTTTGGGGTCGGCGCCCGCGCGGGCGATTGGCCCTCGTAAACGCCCCGCACGCGACCGCATGACCACTGGCAACAAACCGCCGGGCTGCCCGCCAGGCGACGACTTTCGGGCTCGAAATTCCACCTTCCACGCATCGGAAAGAGGCTCTTGAAAGGGCAGATGGGCAGAATTTATTCACGTAAAATCTATAAGACTCTTCTCCACTCACGAGCTTCTAGTTTCAACCCGGCCAAAAGTGTATTATAATAAGATGGTTATGAACCAATAACGGGTGCCTAAAATCGAAAAGCTCACATGAGTACTATACACGCACTTTTTCTTCATACACCACAACGGGCAAGGGCGGGCAGAGGCGGGTTCGGGCTACGTCACGGCAGTGCAGTGCTGTCAACGTCATCGCCTGAAAACTCAGCGTAATAGCGCGTCTTGGAGTAGACGCCAACGGGAAACAACGCAAGGATTTTTTTTCTGAAGAAATAATTAAAAATTGTAGAAATTATTTTGTAACAAGGAGCACGGTACGCAGAGGTCGTTAGAAAGAGAGCAAAAATTGAGAAGTCCGCTCTGTACAGTAAGGTGTGGCATCACTGCAAACTGAGCCGTGACGGTCCGAGTGCAACTCATATTATCTACCGGGCCGTGCTGTGCCGGGCTGAGCAAGAACTAGGGACATGGAGAATCAAGATAACGTGCGCGCATATTACTTTTTTCGTTGTCAGACCGAAGATGACATTCAACTGTATTAATTCCATGACGAGAACTTCAGTAATCAATGTAGTATAACCTCTGAACCATCTGAAACAACCCACCACGAAATATTTTTCGTTATTTCTAACATTACTATGTTCATACTACTTAATAAATGTATGACTTTTATTCGTAAAACAACAGAACCGAACTACACTCGTGGTAATAACTTTTAAAATATGGGTTATCTGGCTAGCTTCTGGCCTTCGGGCAGAACAGAAGTATGAAAACTTCGTGGCTAACTGATGTGATCAACAAGCCAGGAATCATATTTTCTCTACCATGTACTGCCCAGCCCGCGCCTACACCATCACCTCCCTCGTCGGAAGCAACCACGCTACAAACAAAATTTCAGGGCTATCGTTATGATGTACAAAGCCACCTAGAGGAAAGGAGTAATAAATCCCGCCGCACAAGCGCGCTTCCAGGAGGCCTTGAAACGAATTACAAAGAAACAATAAAGCGACGCGACGTAAAACTCCCGCTGCCGGCACCGCACAATGAGATTGTCATCCTCCTGAAGACGCAGCCGCCGCTTTCGACACAGTCACGCGCGTGCGTGGGCGCGTGAGCCACGTGGGTCGACGCACGCGTGACCGCCCCTTTGCTAGGACCTTCGCTGCTACTACTTGCCCAATCGAGAGCCGTACTTTGGGATCAGACTTGGAAATCAAATAAAAACAAATGAAATAAAAATGAACGTTAAATAAATAAAAATGAACATTAACTAAATGAAATGAATAAATAAATGCGTAAATAAATAAACCACAACCGTCGAATACTTGACCGGCTTAGGTGGCTCAGGGCATTAAGTGCAGCAGTCAGGGCACTGCAATGCCTCTGATGGGGAGGTCCTAGGTTAGAGTCCGGATTGTAGCTCGATTTTCGATGGACTAGATAGCTCGGTGCCGCTGCATGGAGGAAATTCATAGCGGCCGGCTGCTCTGATAGTTTTCCTTGTTTTTTCCGATCATTACCAGACGAATGGCGGAGCAGTACCCTAACAAACGGGCCACGGATCACGCGCGATATTTCCTTTCTCCTTCCTTGTCCTATCCTCACCCCTTAAGTACACACCCTACACTACTACATACGTCGGGAGACTGGTTGCTATCCAAGAGCCTTTCTCGGATGGGGCGGTGTCGCGCTCTAGGGAAAAATTTGGTTGGAGGAAAACCATTACCGCCACATTCCGAGGAAAAGCACACACTCCACTTACGGGACTTAAGACCTTAGTAGTTGACGCATCCGTAAACACTATACTATCAATCGATTACTCGCACTTGAACGCGGCTACACACACATCAGGCGAGTAGCGACAACTGTTCCGCCGATCTCGAGTATCCAAGGTGTTCGGAGAAGTTATCTTCCTTTGATGTACCCTCCTACAGTGCGACACGTTGTTGGTAGAGTAAACCCAAATGTTTGTCGCTCAGGAAATTAGCATGCAACTTATCAACGTTATTCGGAATTCGGTTAAAGGTCGCTTGCTAATCGCCATTTGGGGAATTGCCTGTAAGTACTGTTGTGGTGACAACCATAATCTTAAGAAACCAATGAAACAAACTGGTTAACGCGGCAGATCGGGATGATGCGAGTGAAACCGACCTGATGGGACGGCGAGCGGCGAACTGGTTTGTCTAAAAGGAAGCAATAGACATAAATACCTGGGTATAAAGATATAAATAGAGAAATGCTCTCATGTAGAAGTATAAATACCCGGCGAAAGCCCGATAATCAGCTAACAATAAAAATGAATAAATGAATAAATCGCAAACTGAAATGCAACAAACGGTTCACACCTCTCGTTAGCAACAAATGTAGTAGAAACGTTGAACTTAGCAACTAGTAAGTATATCAGGTAATCTAATAAATAAATTGAAATAAATAAAAACATTTTCCTTTAAAAGTGATGAGGCTGAGACCACTGGATCTGCTATTTTCCACCTGACCACTTTCACAAATGTAATGGAAGTAACAATTTTATTTTAAGATTATTAAAAACTAAATGGTTATAATTGCAAAAATGAGAAATTGGACATTAAAAGGCGCACCAATTATCACCATCACATAAAAAATGGATAAATTTAAGGTGGAAAAGGAGATTTCAAAAATCTTATTCTTATACAATGAGGGGTAGTAGTCAGCTATTTTATTTAAATTTCTTACCAGGAAATTAACTTTTCTTTTTAATTCCGACATGTATTTTAAAATATAGTTTAACTGAACATTATTTATATTTTCCACCACAATACATCATTTTACACACATGCCAAAAATGATATTCATTTAGAGGCTGTGGGTTATGCAGTTCTGCCGTTGTTCACTCGCGAACAACTTTCAAATTTTAGATAATTTTATTTGTAGACACTTTTGAAATTGAACAACATACGAATAATTTTCATATGATATTAATGTACTTTCTATTGTAAAATAAGTTTTAATATTTGCCGAAGTTATTCAAAATCTCAAGGATTTTATGATTATTTCCAAAACCTGTACTGGGTTTGGGATGGGGGGGGGGGGGTGTCGATCCACGAACCGTAAAGAAACTCGTGATTAGCAACGAACCGTGTCGTCGGGGGCACTTACCCTTCGTCGATCTCGTTTGGGCGGCAGGAACAGCGAAAATTCACACCCGCCGTACGCGATGTACTCCATCGCGAGGCGATGTACGAAGCGATGTACGATGTTCAGCTGTCGGACGCACCGATCGGATATCCGATGCGAACGCGATTCGCCGCCCTAGCTAGCGATGACCTGATTCTGTTTGCAGCACACGGCCTCCTACAGATATCCGATGCGAAAGCTTACAACCGCCAAGCACACCAAAGCCCCCTACGACATCACTGTCTTCACACGATCGTTCAACGAAACGACGGTTACCGCAAACTCCACGCGCTCACACACACGCACACACATACACACATTCGGATCCGTTCCTCGCACGCACCGAACGTTCGGTGATCCGATGCAAGCGGTTAACGCTTTCTCCCACACCGGCCGCTCGACTACTCGTAACAAACCGCTGCAGTCGCGCGCGTCTTTCGCCGATTCATTTTGCGCGAGTCGAGCGGTCGCACGGCGTCGCGAGCAACCGTTTTGAGCCGACGCCGCCCCTGCGCTGCGCCCGTCCCGTCGCGGCAGCCGCTGACTCACTGGGGCCAGTTCCTGGAGTCACCGCCTTCGCGCCCGGAGGCACCGGCGGCAGGGCAGTGGGCCAAAATGCGTCGACGGGGAACCAAAAGAAGGGCGGATAGTAAAAAATAAATAAATAAATAAATAATATCAAACAAAAACATTAAAAAAATTAAAATTAAGAATAGAATTCTGACAAAAAATGTGGTTGGTATGGTTTTTCCTATTTAAATGTAGAAGTTAAAAAATACATTTTGAAATTAAATTACTCCTGAGGAACAGGAAACATAATCCTTGAAACGTATTGAGGTATGAAAGGCTTTTTTAAAAAGTTAATTTAATAATTTAATAAAAAATATTTAAACTAAATGAAATAAAAATGATTTTCGGTTAAATGTGTATTTAATTATTACAATAATATATGACTGTCTGAAACGATTCTTATCAGAATTATGTCATTTATATGAATTTTGTCGACTTCTCATATTTTGCGAAATTAAATCATTGGCCTATTACGTCTTCTTGCAAAAGAGATACTAAGGGTATCATTTTATTATATTGGCTTTAGAGTCCAGAAAAAAGGAGAATCAAATACACTCACACTTTATGTGCAGCACCTTTTTGTTATTTTATTCGGTTATTGGGCTTTCGTAGGTAATGTGAAATGCCAGATATCATTATTAACGTCCTCAACTGTAATTATGTAAATGCAAAGATAAGTATGGGGTAAGGCGGAAGAGTCATGCTATCTGAACTTCGTCACAAATAAAGATAATAAACATAATACCATTATTATTATTATTATTATTATTATTATTATTATTATTATTATTATTATTATTATTATTACTATTACTATAATTATTAGTATTATTATCATTATCGATAAGAGGCCGGCATCGCTAAGGCAATTGAGTCGTAGGTCCTGTACTGAAGGATCGCGGGTTTGAGATCGCCTCCAGCATGCTCGTGGTTGTTAATTTATTATGTATTTGGCCTTGGAAATGGAACCTTGCGCCCACAGTGCGCGACCGCCCCAGCCCGAGTCGCCGAGTCGTCTCGCGCCGCGAGGGTCGCCCCCAAAGGAATTCTCGCCTTCGGGGAGGGGTGCGGGGAGGGGGGTCGTTATGTTTACAAGGCCCCCCGGCCACCGGCGCAGCCACAGGGGGAGGGAAGTCCGCGGGGCGGAGCAGGGAGCGCGCGAGATTTGTCTTCTACACGTCCTCTTCGCGAGGGGAGTTATACATGTCCCATTCTGCACTGCCTCTGACCGGAGGTCCTGGTTCGAGTCCCTGGTTCGGCGGCAGGATTTTCCGCACTACCTACATAGCTAGGTCGAGATCAGTCGTTGTCTAGAGAAGATTACTAGAGGCCGGCTGCTCTGATCAGAAGTTTTCCGTTGTTTCTCCGATCAATACCAGGAGAATGCCGGAGCAGTACCGTAACAAACGGGCCAAAGACTGCGCGCGATGTTTCCTATCTCTTCCTTGTCCTTTCCTCACCTCTTACACACACACACACACACACACACACACACACACACGTACACTTACATGCACTACACTACCACACATGCCGGGAGATCCGTGGAGAGCTTAGAGCTCATTCCGGTCGGGGCGGTGTCCCGATGTGGGGAGATTCCTGGGTCGGGGAAACCCCGCTAACCGACTTGTCGCGCCCGGATTCTAACCTAATCACAATCAATCAATCAATCCTGACACTGTCCTGGCTGGACCCCACGGACACGCCACGCGCCGCCACCGTTTGCAAATCTCTTTCCGCTGCAACCTGGTTAATTGCTTAAAATTGTAACCATTTCCGTTATTTAAACAATTTTTCTTTTAATTTCTGCGATGCGTCGTTAGAATCCTGTAGAATATTATATTCTCATTTAGGTAATGTTAGTATATAAAAAAGGTCAAATTCCGAGATCCGTAGTTTTAAAACTTAGCCATCGATTTATTTTTCCACTCCCATTCAAGAACTCTTTTACCAGAAACCTGCAGGATTTTGCATGGAGTTAGTCATTATGAAACAGCTTCTTCATCATACAGATGTTCGTACAACGGTGAACAACGATGACAGATTCACAACAGGCCCAAGACAGTTCGCGAGTGGAATTGCTTGTGTATGTGGACTTAAGTGATGATGGCACTTACACCAAGAGTATATACTATTCCTGATGTTAAATAATTAACATTCTGACTTTCATACATATCCTTATTTATTTAAATTTCATTGCAAAAAAATTCATTTTACAGTGTAAACAATATTCCACATAAAAAACGTTAAAAAATTGCATTAGAGTGCAATTTTATTACTTGTTGTGATAGTAATTCGTATCAGTACAAGTAGACCTACACATATAATAATACTTTAAAGAATAAAATAGTTATCATCGGCTTGTTAGCACTATACTGCACAGTACGACTAATTTCTAATTACCCGAAGGCCAAATGAATGATTTCGAACCTACCACATTCATCTTAAGAAAAGAAATTGACAAATACAAGCGCAACCAAGAATTTCTTCGGCAGTAGGTTAATTGCTCCATACAAGTTCGCGAATACAAAGGAGACATTTCGTACGAAGGGCTGTCGTTTTCCGCTCAAAGAACTTCTATTCGGCAGTCGTGACGGAGCTGCTGCGACCCAACCGCCATCTGCCCCCGCGGAGAAATCCAGAGCGCGCGTTGGCGGCCGCGAGGGCAGCGCTGGCGTCCAAGTGGGCACACGGGCACGCCAGGTGCCGGCCAGGTGGGCGCCAGGTGCACCACCAGCAAGCAGCCGGGCACCCCCCCCCCGCACACACACAAGATTCACATACAGATACACATGCACACATTCATAGATATTTTCGAACATCCACACACATACATCCACACACACACACATACATCCACACACACACACATACGATCCACACACACACACACATACATCCACACACACACACATACATCCACACACACACACACATACAATCCACCACACACACACAACATACATCCACCACACACACAACATACATCCACACACACTACACACATACATCCAACACACACAACACATACATCCACACACACACCACACATACATCCACACACACCACACATACATCCACACACACACACATACATCCACACCACACACAACATCCACACACACACATACATCCAACACACACACATACATCCACACACACATACATCCACACACACATACATCCACATACAACATTCATGCACATCCATATATATACACGTTTTTAAATACAATCATCGTAGCTCAGTAAACTATTTCATTGATAATATATTTTACAGTACAAACTCATTGCATCACATTTTGACGAAATCTTTTTTAATTGGCCCACTTGTTAGGTCGTGACCAGATGCTGGTGTACTGCTCCGGCATTCGCCTAGTGTTGATCGGAGAAACCACGGAAAGCAACCGATCAGAGCAGCCGGCCGCTAGAATTCTCCTCCAGACAGCGGCTGTATCCGACCTAGCTATCTACCTAGAGTCGAAAATCCATTGCACCGTCGAGTCTCCAACCGTAAGACCTGCCCAGCCAGAGGCATTGCATTGGCATCAACTGATGTGACTGAGACCGCTTAAGTTGGTTTTCCCAACTGTTTTATTCTTGTATAAGTAATAAAACAAACGTTGTGGAGCTAAAATCCCAAATGATTCCAATGTACCCCCCTCCGCAGTCAGTTCGTTAATTCGCGCCCCGCGTGCGCGTGTCGGCGTCGCCGCTTCGTTGCAGCCGGAGGCGCGCGGCCCGGCCGGCGGAACCGTCACAGGGGAGAGAAAGACCGCCCCTCCCACTTCCGCGCCTACTCCATCTCCCTCACGACTCGACGCCTTTTCCTGGGAAGGACGCAGGCGGTTGTCGTAGTTCGTCTGTAGGGAGTCTGTGCACGCCATAGCAGACAGTGCTATCGATATTCTGCACACGCGCAGATGAACTACAGTGATGCGAAACTTTAACTGAAGTAGAAGCTGAATGCCCAGAAGATTTACGTCACATAATTATGTATAAAGATCATTAAATATATTCTGGAAAGTATTACCTGCTAGTCTCTTCCAAATCAGGAGCAGACCATACCGGACCGTCTGTTATTAGAAGCCCCCTCCTCCAAAACAATATTCGCCAATAATTAAATAAAAAATAAAGGACATCTCGGTAACAATTTTTGCCTTGATAACCCGTGAGGATGTGGAAGGGACAAAATGAATCCCCAAACAAACAGAAGAGAATAAGAAGTCTTGTACTCGCCGCAGCGGCCGACGTCCTCCCCAACCTGCCGTCCTCTTGTCTTGCCTTTCAGCTCCGCCTCCACCCCCGCCTTCCCCTCGCATCCACCTTTGCCTCCGCCATCGCAATCGCCCTCGCCTTTTTTCCGCCACCCCACCCCACCATGCTACGGCCTCCTGGGCCTCTTTCTACCCCCACTACTTGGCCCACGCCTACACATTTCGGGCTTCGGCCAACTTGGCCCTCCCTCGCCACCTCCTTACCTTCGCCCCCGCCCCGCCCCCGCCTTCACCTGCGCCTCGCAGCCGCACCGCCTCCGGCAGCCAGGGTGTTCCGGCGGGGCGAGCTGGCGCGGGGGCCGGCCGGAAAGCCTCGCCCTCGCCGACCTGCGACGCCCCCGCCCCCCGCCCCGCCCAACGGCGCCGCTCCTTTGTCGCCGATCGGCGGTGCGTTTAAAAAGCCTTCCCCCCCCCCGCACCGAGCCACGCGCGCTCCGCTGCCACCCGACCGGCCGAATCGACTCCGCGCGACGTCGACACGCGAGACAGAGC